AGTTTGTTAGAACTAAAATAAGAAACCTTGATGTCGTTCCTATTGAATTGTTTAAATTTTTCAGTTATTGACAGAATGAAAGGTATAGTATCAAGAAGGAACTACTGTTGATTCCTCCATTGTTATCTAAACTATTGATACATATCGACTTTTTGCGTGTGATATCCATGATTCTTTGATGGTATCAAAAATGTATTTAAGACCATTAATTTCCATTGTTATACTTCCATTGTTATTGTTGCGCACAAAGTACTGCGTTGAGACTCCTATTTCCCCTTACATTCTTGTTTTTAGTTTGTTAAATATTAAGAAGTCCTTTAACATTATTTTATTATAATTATTGTTCTCAATTATTGTTTAAAAATTTATATATATAAATTGTATTGATAATACAAACATAAATAATGATAGATAAAACAGAAACTAATTATTTTCTTTTAGATATAATAGAAGTCGATGTGGACAAAGAAGATGAGAAAGAAGAAGAAGAAGAAGAACCAGAATTGGAAGGACGAATTAACGTAGACAAAGACGATTTCATGACGACTACTACGTTGAAGCCAACTGAGCAGCCTGAAACCATCGACAAATGTCACTTGCCATACTATCCGGCAACAGATCCTGATCTTGAGAATGCTTGGCGATTTGGTATATTTTTAAATATAATAAGTGGAAAAATATTCAAATGAAAATATTATTAATCAATAAAATTTTTCAAACACTTAATGACTCTTTTTAGGTACTGCAAGGAACAGTAGATTAGAATATAGGTCATTGAATGGAAGGTACAAAGACGATTATGATTTCCAGATTGATATAAAAACAATGGCGGACGACGGAATTATATTTTATACTTCCGATCTCAGTAAGCAAGACTTAATCGCCGTGTATGTGCTCGGTGGAAAAGTAAGGAAATACTTTTCTTCACACGGAAAAGTTTGTTTCACAAATCGTCTTGATCTTGAAAAATTATTCTTCTAGGTTCACTATAAATTCGACTGTGGAAGCGGACCAGCATTGCTAGTGAGTGACAAGATGATCAATAACAATCAATGGCATATCATAATCTTCAAGAGAGATGGTAACTACGGTCAATTAATTGTGGATGATGAGGAAGCAGTGACTGGATACTCGTTGGGACACACCACTGCTATCAATATCAATCCGCCATTCTTCGTAGGAGGCGTTTTGCCAGAAATATCCAGTATTGCGTACACAAATATTGTAAGATTGCATGATCTTTAATCTCATACTTAGGATTACAAGAGTACAATAATATTTTTGTTTCAGGGTCTTAATAAAACGTTCAGTGGCTGTCTAGGAAATTTCATGATGAATGGACAACTCGTCGGAGAACCATCGGAGAAAGTAGGCGTAATACCTTGCTCAAAGAGAGTCGAGCCCGGTCTCTTCTTCTTTCCAGGAAATGGCAGTAATTTATTCAAAGCAGGTAAGAAAATTAATACAAATATATATTTCGTCAAATAAAAAAATATTTCATATTGTTTCTAATTGTAATTAACTAAACCAAAGATATTAGTAAAAGAAATATTTTATTAATTTTTAGTCGATCGGTTTAATGTGGACCGCACAGTCGATATTCAAATGGATATAAAACCGCGATCCACATCTGGACATTTGCTATCGGTGCACGGTAAAAGGGATTATCTCGTCCTAGAGATGATTAATGGTACCGTCAAATTTCTCATAAAGACGCAGAGAGGTTCGATTGAGACCGCATTCGAGCCAACGAAACCAAACTCCCTATGTGATGGCCATTGGCACAATATTCGAGGTAAATAGCATTTATATCAAATAAATTAATGTTAAGAATACTCTTGAAGCTGCGATTTTAATCTTAACGATTTTTTTTATTGATTTGAAATTTACCTTTAACTAAAATAAGGCACTGACGGTTGTTAATAGCAGTCGTTTTATTTAAATCGCGTTCTACTATTACTTTTTTTTTTCAACAGCCGTCAAACAGAAAAATGCAGTACTCCTATCAGTCGATCATAAACCAGCACCGCCCGGAATCGGCGGCAAAAACGTAGCTAGAGTTTTATCAAAACATCCGATATTCATCGGTGGGCATCCGATGCTGGGAAAAAGATTACGAGGAAGTACCTCGCAGGCTCAATATGTCGGCTGTATCAATAATATTTTGATCAATATGAAACCCGTTAGCATTAGGCCTGAACGAGCTTATGGACAAGTTATCACTGGTGTATGCCCGACAATTTAAAATGATGAAGGAATTCTGAATTTATATATATATATTTTATCCAAAATCTAATCAGATCGTCTTCTCCTCTTCGAAATATTTTATTAATCTCTGACACGCTTAATAAAAAAATAACAGATAATTAACAAGTCAAAAATCGAATTTGTAAATTAATTTTTCTCTGAAAACAATATTTTCTCGACTAAGAACTATGAAAAATTGTTTGTATAGGATAAGAAAACTCGTTTATCACCAAAGATAAATATGATTTAACAAAGGATGTAAGTTATAAAATATATGTAGGCATACAGAGGAAGTTGGTTTTAACACAACGCAAACTATTAAAAAGAAAATAAGAATTTTTGTAAAAGTCATAAGCGTTTTTTATTTTGTGAATATATATGTAATATTTGTGCGTTATCGCATTCGGCACATCTTGTAAATAAATCCAAATTCTTATATAATAAGTTCTCAAAAGTTCATTCTCATGGATTTTCGTCTCTTTTTGGCTCAGTCTTGGTATCATTAATATTACAGAAATCGCTATTCTAATATAATGCTTGCCTCTTTGTCAAGACACGATGTCATATCACTATAATGATCATAATGAAACTATTTGCGATTGTAAGCACAATATTAGAACATTTTAATGAAAGTATGAAGAATAAAATGTATTTATAAATGCAAGTTTGCTAAAAGAATAGCTTTGTATTATATGCAAATTATATGCAATTATTACACTAAAATTTTACATAAAAACTATCCTAGAAGTGCAATCGTGAAAATTATGCGCAAATGATTTTAAGAAATTTAATGCTTCCGAGTAATCACTTCAGCCATATTGAATCGTAACATCATAAACGAGAAATGACAAGTTGATTTTTCTTGCATACCAATTGTAAATAAAGAGAATTTGGATAAAACAAAATAATAAAATCGTTTTAAAACATTTGTAAAAATAGGCGAAGATTCTCCTTAGGCGAAGATCTCCCCTGATAGTCAATAAAGAGAAAAGACTCGAAAAAGACTCGAAGTGAAAATAGGATATGCATTGAAATTAGTAAACTCACTTTACATGCCTTTTACAACTATTTATTAACTGTCAAAGGAGATAAGAAGAATCTTCATCTATTTTAGATGTTTTAAAGAGATCTCATCATCAAAGCGATTTCATTTCATTCAAATTCTCTTTATTTACAAATGGCATATAAGAAAAATCAACGTATCATTTATGACACATTTCTCTCGCTTATGACATAACGATTCAATATGACTGGAGTGAGTACTCCGGAGCCTTAACAATGAAATTATACTTTCAAAGACACATTGAATAAAAATGCCACAAAAATATCCAAACATAATTTAGAAAATGAAGTATGCATGAATTTTTTAATACAAATTCAAGAAAAATATTGGTTTTTTATTGTAAAATAAATCTTGTAAATTGTTATTATATTTATAGTAACAATTAATAATGATTAGCCGCGACTTTTTAGCACTAAAGATTTAATATCCCAAAACAATATGAAAAATCATATAACATTATTCACTAAATCAGAATTCACAGCCATAAAAACGTTTCTTGCAATGTTTAGTTTCAATATTTATCAATTGCTGATATCTGTCAATATAAAATATACACATTATTTGTGTAAATGAATCTATTTATCACATGTAATTCAATTTGTGACAGCATTTGTGGATTACATAATCTGATCAAAATGAAAAAAACAAATAAAAATACAAGGTATATTAAATCACTTGTGCTAATT